GACTGAAGAACAAAACGACAGCAACTTGTCTGTTCCCCTTCCCCCAGTTCCCCAGCACTGTTCCCATCCCCCCAATTCCCCAATAAAAATCTTAAAAAACAACAACAACAACAAAACAAACAAACAAACAAACCAAACAAACAAACAAACAAAACAAACTTATAGATACAGGGAACATTCTGATGGTTGCTAGATGGGAAGGGGTTTGGGGTTGTGGGTGAAACAAGGGGAAGGGATTAAGAAGTACAAATTGGTTGTTACAAAGTAGTCCTGGGGAGGTAGGGTATAGCATAAGGAATATAGTCAATAACATTGTAATAACTGTGTATGGTGTTAGATGGGTACTAGATTTATTGGGGTGATAGATGGGAGGGGAATTGGGGGACGGGGTGAAAAAGTAAAGGGATTAAGAAGCACAAACTGGTAGTTACAAAATAGTCATGGGGATGTAAAGTAAAGCATAGGGAATATAGTCAATGATATGTTAATAACTGTGTATGGTGCCAGGTGGGTACTAGACTAGTCAGGGAGGTCACTTCTTAAATTATATAAGTGACTAACCACTGTGCTATACACCAGAAATTAATATAATATCATATGTCAACTGTAATTGAAAAAATTTAAAAAGGGGGGAAAGGTGAAGGGGAATAAGAGGGTCAAATTTTTACGTATAAAACAAGTAAGTCATGGGGATATAATGTACAGCATAGGGAATGTAGTCAATAATGTTGTGATAGCGTGGTGTGGTGTCAGATGGTTGCTGGACTTATGGTGATCACTTCTTTAGGTATATAAATGTTGAATAACTATTGTGTATACCTAAAAATAATATAATATTGTATATTAGCTATATTTTAATAAAAATCTTTAAAAATATTTATATAGGAGAAAAAACAAAATTTAAAAATATATGTGTATATATAGCAAACAAAATAGTCATTGTGATAGAAAGTATAGCATAAGGATACAGTCAATAATAATGTAATAACTATGTATGGTGTCAAATGGGTACTAGATTTATCAGGGTGATCACTTTGTAAGTTATATAAATGTGTAGTCACTAGGATGTACACTTGAATCTAATTAACTTGATATTGTATGCCAACTGTAATTGCAAAATAAAAAAATGTTTAAAAAAAAGAAATGAGAGGGGAATTTAATTTGGGGGAGGAGTGTTACAAGGCAGCAATGCTATCTGTGGCATGCAACAGCCTTGGCATAGGATCAAGGTAATTCTTTCCCTGGGCAGGTCTTAAGATCACACTCTCTTAGAATGAGTGCTCTCAAACATCATCAGAACTCCATGTTTTCCCAATTTTATCCTGCTAAATTCTATTGGCAAACTTCAATGTTGTTTTTAATTCATATGTGTGTTGGTATCGAGAGGAATAATGGGGGAAAAGGGAGACATTTACAAAAGATAAAACATTAAAAGACTCAGAAAGATGTTGGTATCTATGCTAGAGTGACTTTGATATTAAATAGCCAAATTTTTATAACCCTACCTTAAATCAACAGAATAATATAATATTGTATTTACTTAAGCACCCATGAATAAAATTCCATTGTATGATCACAAAGAGGTGAATTAAAAAAATAGAGTAAGAGACAGACCACAGACAGAGGGAGAGAATGGGGGATAGGGATCAAGAAAAGGAGAGAGGATAGAAATTACAAAAATATGCTTTTCAAAAATACAATATGCACATATAAAATACATTATTAGAGCTACCATCTAATTCCTCT